GACAGGAATCACTGGCTCAGCGGACGTGAATCACTGACTCAGCGGACAGGAATCACTGACTCAGGGGACGTGAATCACTGACTCAGCGGACGTGAATCACTGACTCAGCAGACAGGAATCACTGACTCAGCGGACGTGAATCACTGACTCAGCGGACAGGAATCACTGACTCAGCGGACGTGAATCACTGACTCAGCGGACGTGAATCACTGACTCAGCGGACAGGAATCACTGACTCAGCGGACGTGAATCACTGACTCAGCGGACGTGAATCACTGGCTCAGCGGACAGGAATCACTGGCTCAGCGGACGTGAATCACTGGCTCAGCGGACGTGAATCACTGGCTCAGGGGACGTGAATCACTGACTCAGCGGACAGGAATCACTGACTCAGGGGACGTGAATCACTGACTCAGCGGACAGGAATCACTGGCTCAGCGGACGTGAATCACTGACTCAGCGGACAGGAATCACTGACTCAGCGGACGTGAATCACTGACTCAGCGGACAGGAATCACTGACTCAGCGGACGTGAATCACTGACTCAGCGGACGTGAATCACTGACTCAGCGGACAGGAATCACTGACTCAGCGGACGTGAATCACTGACTCAGCGGACGTGAATCACTGGCTCAGCGGACAGGAATCACTGGCTCAGCGGACGTGAATCACTGGCTCAGCGGACGTGAATCACTAGCTCAGTGGACGTGAATCACTGGCTCAGTGGAACGTGAATTCGAGCAAACTCCCGGAGAGAGCGGAGGACACCAGAGCCTGACATGCTACAGCCCACGGGGTCGCAAAGAGTCGGACACGACTTAGTGACTGAACAACAGCAACAGATTAAAGGCTGATGATAAAGGCAACACCCAGATGCCCACCTGTCAGCTCAAACCGTGCGCCATTACCTTTGAAGCCCCTTGGCTGCTTCACTGTATCGATCAGTTTCTTTTCTTCCCAGCTTTGCAGCACATGCAATATAGTCAGTATAGTCTTGGCTGCCTCTGAATGTTACATAAACAGAATCATCCTGAATGTGTGCTTCTGTGACTTGCTGTTTCTGCTCATCTTTGTGAACATTCACCTATGCTTGTGTGCATGGCAGTTATTACCTTTTACTACAGAATAGTGGGGCTTCCCTAGTGACTCAGATTGCAAAGAATCTGCCTGCAACACGGGAGACCTGGGTTTGATCCCAGCATCAAGAAGATCCCCTGGAAAGGAAATGGCAACCCACTTCAGTATTCTTGCCTGGAAAATTCCATGGACACGGAAGCCTGGTGGCCCATAGTCCATGGGGTCACAAAGAGTTGGACACTACAGAGCGACTAACACTTTCACTGAATAGTTGTTACTTTCTGGAATCTACCATTCTCTTGAGTTCATACGGGCTGTTTGCAGTCTGGGGCTTTTCTGAACAATGCTGCTCTGAATATTTTTGGTTTTGTATTGACAAAGGATCATGCTGGGATGGAACCACTGGGTTGTGAGGTATGGGCATGTTCAACTCAACTAGTTAATGCCAGCTGTTTCCAAAGTGGCTTATTTTGACTTACCTTTCCACCAGCAGGCTAAGAATTCCTTTTTCTCTGCATCCTTGCTGACATCTACTAATCACGTTCTAACACTTCTGCCCACTTGGGTCTTTATAATAACAGCCAACACTTAATGCTCACATCAACTGTGGCAGGCCCTGTTCTGAGCACTCTGTGTGCATGATCTCATTTCATCCTCAAGAGAGCCCTAGCTGTTAGGAATGTATTGTCATTTGTGAACAAGAGAGCAAGTCTTTGTCTTTCCCCTCCCCTTCGGTCTGAGCCTGGTGGCCACTCTCTGTGGCCATTTCACATGTTCCTTCTCCCATCCTGGGCAGGGCTGGGTCCCAGCACTGCCTTAGTCCCACCCAGAGCCTTTCCTCCTCAGGCTGTTACTCCCTGTCAGTCCGCCTCAGCCGCCCTGCCTCCTGGGACCGGATCAGACACTACAGGATCCAGCGCCTTGACAATGGTTGGCTGTACATCTCACCACGCCTCACCTTCCCCTCGCTCCTGGCTCTGGTGGACCATTACTCTGGTACGGCCGCCCCCCACCTCATATGAGAGTAGATGGGGATTTGGGCTCTGGGGGCAGTCAGTCATCTCTTGGACACTTTACCTGCTGGAGAATATCCAGACAAAAGAGGGACCACCCCTTTCACCACACCAGTCTCTGTGCCAAGAAACGCAGCTTGGGAGCCCCGGCTTCATCTCACACCAACAGAGCCACTCAGATGTCCTGTGGGTGTGTAGGCCAGTACCTCACCCACCACTGTGGTTCTGAGTCAAGGTCCCCCACAGCTGGCACGTTCTCTCCACAGGAATTAGGCCCACAGCTATTGTTACTATGGAATTTAGTCAATTCTCAGCATCTTCTGGTGCCTATCCTGTAACAGCAGTGTCAGAGGCAGAGAGGAAAGACCAGTTTTCTTTCTCAGTTTTTGCTGAGAAAACTGACCAGGGGGTTTCTGGACAGTTGTTCCAGGCAGCAGATACTGACCGAACAAGTGGAGACTGATCATTCCTTAACTTTCTTCTTTCCAAAGCACTTTCCTAATCAGAAAACTGGGGCTCAAAGAGGTCCCTCAACTTACCCAAAATCACACAGTAAAATTAAGTCTCCCCAGTTAGCCCAGAATCTTTGACTGCATCTCAGCTTCCAGATGAAGAGTTTGGGACTCCCAATCCCACCAGCCAAGTGTGGAAGGCTTCAGGGTGAGGGTGGTTGGCTGGGGAGGGAAGCGAGGCTGGAGTCGACCAGGTCAAAGATCTAGGTCTCTTCCTCAGAGCTGGCAGATGACATCTGCTGCCTCCTCAAGGAGCCCTGTGCCCTGCAGAGGGCTGGCTTACTCCCTGGCAAGGCCATACCCCCACCTGTGACTGTGCAGACGACACCACTCAACTGGAAAGAGCTGGACAGGTGAGGGGCCCCTGGAATGGGAAGGTGGAGCAAAGAATTAGAAGGACCCAACCCTGGGAACCTGGACTGGGGCTGTCACCTTCAGGGACACCTGGGAGCCACTGAGCATTGTCTGAACTCAGAGGCCAGCCCGGGCTCAGCGGGTCTGCTGGGGGGACCAGCAGGGATGCCAAAGCGGGCATGGATACAGGGCATGCCTGGACACCAAGGTGGCCAGGGTGGATGGGCAGACAAGATGAGCTACAACAGAGTACCAGCCCTGAGTGAGGTCACGCAGGGGTCTGATGTGACAGGGAACAGGGAACCAGGGGGTTTCCAGCAGGTTCTGAGAGCAGGGACTGTGTGGCAGGGGCGGGGGAGGAGGCTGAGGCCCCCGACTCAGCTCTGTCCCCTCTCCACAGCTCCCTCCTGTTCTCTGAGGCATCTGCCGCAGGGGAGGAGTCCCTCCTCAGTGAGGGGCTCCGGGAGGCCCTGAACTCCTACATCAGCCTGACTGATGACACCTCCTTGGACGGTGCCAAGGCCGAAAGCAGAAGGCGAAAGGGGAACCAAGGCTGCAGCGCCTAGAGCCCCATCTCAGCTCAGCCCGAGCGAGCACCCCAGAGGCAAGGCTGCACGGAGGGGAAGGGAGGGCTGGGACACAGAGGCACATCCAGGGTCCCACCAGTATCCTCTGGTCCTTCCCCTCTTAGCCCTAAGAAGTCACTTAACCTCCTCCCAGTGTGATGACGTGGCCTACAACCTCTAGTTCAAGTCTAGAGCAGTTAAGAACAGGGCCAGGACTCCAAAAAGAGACCAGATATCCTCTGGGATCTGACCCAGTCAGTTCCTGAGTTTGGGATTTCCAGTGTCATCTCCTTCTGCCTGTTGAGAGTCATTCTCCATCCCACAACTCCTCCCACAAGTTAGAAAACCTCCACCAGCATCAGGGCGGAAAAAGTAACCACTTAAAGAAAACTGACCAGTCTCACTCAGAATGCTACCACACCTCTGAAGGTAGGACTGCGGCCTGGAAGGAACAGGAAAGCAGAGGGGATGGGTGGCTTAAACAGCAGCAGAACCTGGGCTGGCCAGCTCCCACCTGACCGCCACACCAACAGCAAGACCTCTGACAGTCCAGGTCCTCCACAACCCCGTTAAGCCCCTTCTCTGGACAGTCCCAGCTCTCAGGTTTCTTTCATTGTGTGACTCATCCTTTGAACCTGGCTACGCTTTTTTGGCTATAGCAGCCTCGCCACCTTGTGGCCAAATGCAAAACGACACCATCTGAGCCCAGCACACTGCAACGAGGTTATAGTCACATTCCCTGGGCAGAGGCATCAGATGGTGAGCCCTCTCTCCACAAAGTCAAGGCCACCGCCTGTACCAACTCCAGTCCTCCATTTCCCTGCTGCCCATGAAAGGAAAGGGGCCTGGCTGAAGCTGCTAAGTGAGCAGAGAGAAGAAGGAAGGGGAGGGGAGGCCACCGCCTCTATTGCCCTACTGGGTTCTGAAGCTAGAGCGGAGGTGGGAAAGACTTTACCAGTATCATCAACAGGGTCTCAATTAAAGATCTGATTTATTCAAGTATCTGAAAACATTCTACAATGAAAACCATTATCAGATGCTGCTTGTACTGTGCTATGGACCATGCACATACTGCCATACTGTTTTCAGAAGACTTGAAATGCTCATAATTGGTAGTTTAAAAACTGTACACCTGATGGAGAAGGAAGACAATTTAATGTTTCATCCAGATCCAGAAGTGCAGCAAATTAAAGGACAGCTCCAAACTGGCAAACAGGTATCTCATGATGGTCTCCAAGAAGAAACAGTTGGCGATGGACAGTTCAAAAGTGCTTCTCCAAAAGGTGGATGGTTCTTTAAAAAGTTTCAGGTCGCAACCCTTGCAGAAGACACTGACGCCCAACACACTGATTCTCGGTCCAGGAAACATAGGTCTTCCAGGTTCCACGTGGCTGGGGAGCCCCTACCAATCATGCTTCTGTGCTGTGACTAAGAGGGGTCTCTGGACCGGACAGGGAGCAGGTGGGGGCCGTGCACCATCAGTCATAGTGGATGGCAGTGTAGAAGATGATCCAGATGACCTAGAGGAAACAAGCAATGTTTACAGGTCCCTTCACCGACAGAGTCAACACAGGCTCCTACTCCACCAAACAAAAGCGTCCTAACAAAGTGAGCACAGTGGACTTCCCGGGGCCAAGCCAATGCACGAGCTGCTTGGGGGCTTACATAATTTCACTGAAAACAAGATGTCTCCAGTAGAACCTAGGACCACCTTGCTGTGCTCCCAGAGGACCCTGGACAAGTCTCTCCTCCTGCCAAACAGTGCGAGGGCTGAGAGTTACAGATGTGGAAATGATGGAGGTAACGCAAATTGTACTGCTGCTAAGTGTTAGGGTCAGCAACGTGTGAAAACAGAACTCAGGTCATACTCTGTCAGCTCCGTGTCAGCAGAGGCGCTCACGCCTGACTGTCCTTGCGATCTTCCAGAGTCTTTAAAAACACACAGAGATGCCCCGGTGCCACCTCCCAGAGATTCTGACTTCATCAGTCTGGGCTAGGGTTTACAACTTTTAATATATAACTTTGAGATGTAATCCATTGTTCATAAAGTTTACCCCTTTAAAGTATGTACAATTCAGAGGTTTTTCGTATATTCGGAGTTGTGAAAACATTTTAGAGCATTTTCATTACCCTGGAAACAAAACCTATTCCCGTTAATAGTTACTTCCCATTTCCCTACCCACCCCTGTCCTAACAACCACTAGTCTACTTTTTATCCATATGGGTTTGCCTCTTCTGAACATTTCACATAAACAGAATCACAACATGTGGCCTTCTGTGTCTGCATTTTTTCCACCTGGAATCATGTTTTCAAGGCCCACCCATGTGGGAGCCTGTACCAGTACTTCAGTCCTCTTTAGGGCCGAGTATTTCTACTTATGGGTATACGGCATTTTATCCAGCCATTCATCAGGTGATGTCAAATGCAAAAAATTTCCATTTGGAGACTATTATGAATATGTGTTAAATGTTTCCCAGTTTTCAATATGCAGCCAGAGTTGAGAATTAGATGCATCAGTTGACAATGAGCCCTGCATTCACTCACCACAGGGAGACTAGAGTGCCGCACCCCACATCTTATGATTAACTCAAGAAAGGCCCTCCAGCCTCAGGAGTCTTGAAAAAACAGTATGCAAGTCACACAATGTAACTATCAAAGGGCTCCCCTTGAATAACTGAGAGCTCTAGGAAACGACAAACCTTGCTGGGAAATTCTCAGTCACACATACCATGAACAAGGCAAACGATGTCATAAACCCTTCTTTTGTGAGCTCCCACGTGCCGCCATATTCTTCCTCGTCTATCTGCAGGTAGTTGCTGAAGTACAGGTACAGGACACCCGCGTTGATCAGGCAGAACCTGGAGCAGGGGAGGACAAGCACCAAATGTGAGCTGCAGGCGTGGAGGACCCAGAACTCCCACCAAGTGTCCAGCTCTGTCAGGGCACTGGCAGCTGCAGTTAACCATGTCATGGGGGCAAATGAAGTGATCCATGAAAACACACCTAGGTCCTCAGTGGAGCTGCCCACGTGGTTGTGTCAGAGAAAAAAAAACCTGTTTTAGTTGATCGGCAAGCATATGTAAGTTCTCCAAGCCCCCTTGAAGACAGACAGAAGGCTGCTGAACAATCCCAAATAAGACCAGTTCCTCAGCCTCCAGGTTGCTGTAGCTCGGGAAGGGGGGTGGTCATGGAAAAAACCCATGTGAAGCTGCTGCTTCACGGCCTAGTCAGGCAAGCAAGGGCACGGTAAAGCAGCCCCTGCATAACCCCCAACAGGAGACAATTTCTGAGTGTTCACCAGCGGCTACTGCACTCGATGCAGAGGTGAGCCCGGCAGTGCCAGCCATCAGCTCACCATCTATGAGGGGGGCAAAAACAACAGTCAGAGTGGATTGAAACCAGAGGGTTCAGAAAGGTCTCTGACCCCCATCACATATGATTTAACGGATGCAGGGATCAGAATACTGAGAATAGAAACACAGCACTGTGCTCCACTGATCTCTTGGTACTGTAGCTGTGTAAAAGTAATGTTCATAAAGTGACCAAAACTTCCTTTATGATCTTTCCTCTTATAGTGCCTAATCTTATGGGGACTATATGCCTTAGGCCACACCCCTCTGAAGGCTGCAGTGGAAAACGTAAAGAGAACAGGTGCCTCCTGGCGGATGAAGTGTGAACTGCTGCAGGGCATGGTAGGGCAGTGTGATGACAGGAATATAATCCTTGTGCAAGGTGGGGAGGGGGTGTGCTACAGACCTAAGGCTGTCTGAGCAAGGTGAGGCTGAGGCAGGGTGTGAGTAGTCAGTGTGGGCTTTCTCAGGCTGGAAAGAACAGGAGTTGGGAGACTGGTTTAGACCTGTTTCAGGACATCAGTACAAATAGTTTGAGGACAGGGACCGGGAAAATGGCTGAATGGGGAGGCAAGAAGCCTCGAAGGCTTCGAGTTTAAGTGCTTGGGAGAACCACGGGTCCAGCAGCAGAAGCAGGGAGTCAGGAAGAACAGACGGTTTTTCTTGTATATCACACAAACTACAGTCCCTGGCTTAGCTAAGTCATGTCCACATCCTTATCTGCTACTAGAAGTCTGGGGACCCAGCCAATTTGGCCACATCCCTCTGAAAGGAGTTTCATTTTGGACAGGCTGAGTTAGTGGCTCTAGACAGAGCCTACTAATGGGACTTAGAAATGTCACTGGGGCTCAGCTACTAAGCTCGTTTAGACTCTCCTACTGTAAAAGTGGTTGCTTAATGAGATGAGAAAGGGAAATACAAGTGAAAGAGACAAAGGATGACACGGAGAGAGAAAATGGCTGACATTGGGCCTGCCTGCCAAGATTCACACACTTAAATAAAAAGTGAAATCACAGCATTTAAATGTCTGGTGGTCAAGGGGGAGGGGTCAGGAAAGGACTGGAAGTCTCCACACTGAGATTTAAGGATGGGCATCCATTCTATATTGTAAACAGGAGAACCACATACCAAATGTATGGGCAAAGATGAGCATGCTGGATTGGGGTGGGGGCAGGAGGCTGTGTGTGTGTGTGAGTTGCTCAGCTGTGTCCGACTCTTTGCGACACCACAGACTGTAGCCTGCCAGGCTCCTCTGTCCATGGGAGTCTTCAGGTAAGAATATTAGTGGGTTACCATTTCCCTCTCCAGGGGATCTTCCCGACTCAGGGATGCATCTCCTGCACTGGCAGGCGGGTTCCTTACCACTGAGCCACCAGGGAACCCTGACTAGCGTGAGTCTTTGCTCTATTATTCCCAGACTGGGTGACTTCAGGGAAACCCCTCAGGGCTCCTGCAAGACGAGACAGGTGCAGGGGGTTCGAACCACTGTTACCTTCTCCTAGGAAAGTGATCTGGGGAAGACAGGAGACTACTTTTTTTTGGCTTTTAGATTGCCTTCTGCCATCTCTGGCCATTTTCCTGGTATCTGCCTTTTCTTCTCACAGGAAGCTCAAATGGGGTGATCAACATTCTAAAAATGTGGTATGTATCATCATACCACTTCCACCCTGAGAAGATCTCTATGAACCCCAGGTCCTGCCTGCATCTCATCCTCCTCAATGAGTCCTCATCAAATGTCCACTCTGTCACAAGTGAGTTGGAGGATAAAGTCTATGGTTTCCTTGGACAAACAGTTTGCTCAGCATCATAAATCAAAAACCTCTTTAGCTGGGAGAGAGGACTATACATTCCTTTTCGGTTACCTTCTGAGAAAACAGCCAACTCAAATGAGTTTGAAATGATTTTACACTTTTCACCCCAGAGTAAGGAAATAAGACATGTGATCACAGTTAACACATCCTATGTGATTTTCCAATGTTGAGTACTGACAGTTTGTATTCCCTGTGTGAAAAGAGAAAAGGCCAGAGGTTTGCCTGTCCATTTCTACCATAACTTGCCCACAACTTCCATCTTAAGACAATTCCCACAAATCTTTTTAAATCAACCTGGTGGGCATGCAGTGACTTCTTAACAAGTTGAGTGATGACCAGGGGCTGGTGTCAAATGCTGCCATTGGCCACAGGTGCACATTAAAGGAAGAAGGACCCAACCTCCTACTTTTTCACTGCCTTTAAAATGTAGGGACCTGGGGCTTCCATGGCAGTCCAGTGGTTAAGTGCTTCCACTGCAGGGGCACATGAGTTTGATCCCTGGTCTGGGAACTAAGATTCTGCATGCCATGTGGCAAGGCCAAAAAAAGAAAAGTAGGGACCTAAAACAACTTCTGCCAAAGCCAAGATTCAGGACATCCAGCACAGTGCACAAGGAAGTGATCATCAGGTACAGGAGCTCTTCCACCTCCCAAACTTCCCTAGACAACAAAGGTCATGTCAGAACTAGATTCCTGTTACCAACAGGCAATATACCAACCTCTTGCATGAGGTCACTATGGACCCATGAATGAATAAACTAACCCAGATCTTCATAAAGGTAACATGCCTGACTCAAGATGTTCCCAGGCTGCTGAACTGAGGAGTGCTGCATCAGACCCAGGAGGGCCATCATGGGGCCAGTTTTTTGCTTTAGTCATTATACACACACACAGAGAGAAACTTAAAAAGACAAAAAAAACCCAAGACTCACCCTGCTATTCCCAAGAAACCTCGCAATGGTAACACTCCCCAAATGACACCTAGGACCACAGCAATGATCTGTCGGAACCAGTAGATCACATCTAAAAATTCATCCTGTAGAAAAAAGAGAATGTATGCATTATCTGGAGGGAGAACTACAAGAGAACCTCTTGTAACAGGTGAGAAACAGAAAAGCTTTCTGCTAAACTCATCTTCCAGAGAAATTTCCCCCCAAGCAATGGTATTTGGTTCTCCAATCTCTATATCTTCTTCTTATACTAAATTGTGGTTTAAAAAAATAATATATATTTACTTATTTTGGGACTTCCCTGGTGGCTCAGACGGTAAAGAATTCGCCTGTAATGCAGGAGGTGCAAGAGACGTGGGTTTGATCCCTGGGTCGGGAAGATCCCCTGGAGAAGCAAATCACAACCCACTCCAGTATTCTTGCCTGGGAAGTCCCATGGATAGAGGAGCCTGGTGGGCTCCAGTCCATGAGGTCAGAGCCAGAGTCTCTTGTAACAGCTGAGAAACAGAAAAGTTTTCTGCTAAACTCATCTTCCAGAGAAAATTTCCCCCAAGACAATGGTATTTGGTTCTTGAATTTCCACATTTTCTTGTACTAAATTGTGGTTTAAAAAAATGATATATGTACTTAAGAGATGGCTTCCATCTCTAGATTAAAATTTTAGAAAAATCATTTACTTTTTTTTTTTTTCAGAAGCTACAAAAATGAAATCGCTGTGACAGTAACTGAGCTACTGGCCAGTTAAGTGACCTGGGGATACCTAGACAGACTAACCACGGGCGGAAGGGCTGACTGTGAACCAATTCACTACCACTTCCCCACACAAGGAATTCTGAGTAAGTCACAAAGGAGAGGCTGCATTAGAATGTGACCAGAAGAAGGTGCCAGCACATCTAATTTTCATACAAGAACATGGAAGATTCAGGTTTCTGACCTCCCTGGACTGCAGAAACCAGTCCTTACACAAAGAAAGTAAGACATGACACAGCAAATCAGAAAGGTTTTACAACAGCTGGGCAGGACAAGGGCACTTTCAGGAAGTACCTCCCATTTACCCCCGCCCCCTTACAAGAACCCCAGGAAAACCTATTTCATCAGTCCAAAAAAAAGGGGGGGGGGCGATTGCAGATATAACCATCTTTTCAGGCCAACTGGAATCAAGCTATTGGCAACAGTTCCCTCCCCACCATGGAGCAGAGGTGGGGAAGTGCTCACATTCATATCTTCTGAATGCATGTGACCAGTAAGGACATCGTGAAGTTCCCCAACCATTCCTCACACACATTTGGTGGTCTCTCCCCGACCCCTACTCCCCACCACACCGCATGCACAAACGCTCACCCCTGAAAGGCGGTCTGTCTCCCCTCTTAACTCTCACACTTATTAGGGTATTCAGTTTTCTCATTCGACAGGAAAGCAATGGTAGCTCACCTTTAGTGAGCCTCACTGTGTGCTAAGCACTTTAACGCAGCAGGTACCCCACGTCAGAGTTTTTCTGAGACTCAAGTGAGATGATACACAGAGAGAACCGGACACATAGTAAGTATTCCATAGAAGTCTGCTCCTGTTACTGCTCCTGCCAACGACTCTGGTAGTTAATTCTACATCAGTCACTTACTCAAGATCCTGCTGGCACTAAAAGGCGGAGATGGAATCGAACTCAGCTCAGTCTTGCCGTTCAGGCACGCGACCTGCCTGCGAGGACAACTCCTCCGTCCCTCCTTGCGGGTTCCCGCGAGACCCAGGCGATTTCACCCTTTGACCAACTCTGTGATGAGCCCTGAGCCTGACAGCTGGACCCGCGCAGTTCGCCCCAACACCCCTTGGCAACCCTGAACACGGCTGGGCCCGGACTGGGGCAGGGGCAGGGGCAGGGGCTGGTTCGGGCCTGTCCTTTCGTCCCCGAGTCCCAGCCGGCTCCTCGAACGTGCGCCCCCGCTAGTCCCACCGCACCTTGTCTTCCCAGGCCGCGTCGCTCCGCAGCACCTTGCTCCAGACAGAGACTTTGAGGGCCCCGTTGGCCAGCTGCGGCTGAGACGGCTCCTCCTTCCGCCGCCCGCCGCTCATCCTCCCGTCGCGCCGCCCGGGCCGGGCCTGGGGCGCGCGGGCCGATCTAAAAGGGGTCGGGGTCTGGGGTCGCGGGTCACGGAGCGCGGGGCTGCGGTGGCGGCGACAGCGACAGGCTCAGCAGATCGGTTCTGCGGCGCCCCTCCGGCAGCCTGCACTTGGCCAAACACCCAGGCTCTGTTGGCTCGGTAGAGACCAGGCGCGCGGAAGGCGGAGCCACGCAGCGCCGCGCGTCCTCCACCCGCCGACGTGCACACGCAGCCAATCGGCAGTCGCGCAGCTGTCCGGGCGAAAAAACAGGCGCCGCTTCGGCGCAAGCGCACTATGCTCGGGGACGTGACGGCAAGCTTCTGCTGACCCCGCAGTAAGGTGAGAGGGAAGGGACAATCTTGGTAACGACGACGCCGTGAGCGCGAGGAGGCGCAGCGGAAGCATAAGAACGATGTTACCGAGGAAAGCGAGGTTAAACGGAAGCTTCATCCAATCCGCCACAGCTTGTCCCTCGAGCAGAGGAGCAGAACACGGCCCTGCCTTACCCGAGGCGTCCTTTGGGGCCCAAGCCTTGCTCCCCGGGGCCCCCAAGTTGCCTCCCAGGGCTTAGCCCTGCTTGTTTTCCCCCAACCTTGCAAAGTCCCTTAGGACCTTGTTCAGAAAGTTCATTGTTTGTGTAGTAGCAACTTTAGTGTCTCTTCATGCCTACCATCCTCTTTTGACAGATGTGACCCCTGAGATCCAAAGAGGGGAAATGATTTTCTAAGGCTTTCAAGGGTGTTGGAACCAGCTGAGGACTCCTCGGGGAGAAAGGTGGTGTCAGAATATCTGAGAATTAATCCAGCGTGTCCTTGCTACGCGCTTGGTTAGTGGTTCACAAGTGTGCTTCTGGACCAGCAGCAGATGAATTACGTGGGAATTTGATTAGAGATTCAGATTCTCAGATCCCACTCAGACCCATTGAATCAGAAACTCTGGGGTGGGGCCCGTAATCAAGAGTTTCCGCCAGCCCGCCAGGTGGTGCCCTGAGCACACTGTACAAAGTAACAAGGCACATGGGTCCTGTGTGGTGGGTTTATAGAGGCAAAGTATCTTGCTCTGAACCACTCAGCTAGTACCTGGCTCTGTCTGATTTCAAATTCTGCACCCTGGGGAGTTTCCTGGAGATCCAGTGGTTAGAACTCGATATGTTTCCCTCCCATGGAATCTGGTTCAATCCCTGATACCGGAACAAAGATCCCACAAACCAGAGGAGCGACCAGGCGGCCAAGAAACAAAACAAAAACCTGCAATTTTTTTTGTTGTAACGTATATTAGAACTGCATTCCTTTTTTATTGCCAAATACTATTCCAGTCTATCGACGTATTACGTTTGTTTATCCATTCATCCTTAAAAAATTTTTGTTTGGCCCCACCCCGCATCATGTAGGATCTTAGTTCCTCCATCAGAGATCTTTCCCCAGCCTCCTGCATTGGAAGGAGGAATCTTAACCACTGGACTGCGGGGGAAGTCCCTTTTTATTTACTGTTGTTGTCTTTTATAATGTAGTGTTGTTTCTGCCATACAACAAAACAAATCAGCCATAATTACATATATCCCCTCCCTCCTGAGCTTACCCCACCCCTCTAGGTCATCACAGAACACCAGACTCCTCTCCCTGTGTTACACAGCAACTTCTCACCAGCTATCCATTTTCCACTTGATAGTGTGTATTTGTTGTTGCTACTTTCTCCACTTGTCCCACTCTCTCCCTCCCCCTATTTTTCTTTATTTACCTGGCTGCCCTGGGTCTTAATTGCAGCAGATGGGATCCTCCTTGTGTCATGCAGGATGTTTCCTCTCAGTGCAGAACTTTTTTTTTCATCTGCACTGTTAACCTTAAATATAGCAGCAATAGGGTCAGAACATCCTTTGCTTACCTGTCAATATTCATGTGTGGTTCTCCACCTTAGGCGAACAATGGAATCTCCTAGGAAGCTTTTTCAAAATACCATAGCTGTTGTCTTCTACCACAACCCAATCCCAAGATTGTGTTTCAGTAGGTTGAGGGGGGCTGGACCCCAAAGATGATACACACTGCAACAGACATTACTTTTTATTTTTTTATTTTATTTTATTTTTTTTGCAACAGACATTACTTTGTCCGCACCTGGTGGGATGGCCATATACCTGACATGGATGTACACCTTTAGTCCTAACTTTCACATTATCAGCCCTCCCTCCTCTGAACCAGTTTCCCTCCCCTATGCAAACCTAGAGTAAAGCCTAACCAGCTCACTCCAGTTTGGACATGTATCACTGATATAAAACCTATTTGACAGACTCCCTGATGGCATGCAGTGCTGGAGATAGATCATTCTATCACAGAATGTTGGAAGAATACCTGGCCTAGAGTCAGAGACAGAAAAAGTAAGTTTTTAGTCCGCTGGGTCTAGTGGCAGAGGATTGTAATGGGGAATCTGATCTGGGCTGTTAGAGATCTGAACTCGGAGGGAAGAGTAGGAGTTAAGAAGAGGAAGAGGGAGGGGAAAGGAGGAGCGTATTCCAGGAGATGAAACCACATCTGCTATTGGTGAGGAATAAAGCCACAAGTTAGGGAAGGAAGGGGAGACTAGTGCTGAATAACCTTCTTCCAGTTTTATTGAAAAATGATGTGCATCACTGTGTAAGTTTAAGGCCCACAGCATGATGGTTTGATTTATGTATATTTTGAGTAGGATTGGCTAACACCCACCTTCTGAGATAGATACAATAAAGAGAAAAAGCAAGAATATGAAAAAGGAAAAATAAAATCTACTGTGATGACAACTCTTAGAATTTACTCTTTTTTTTAATGTTAAAAATTATTTATGTATTTATTTTTGGCTGCACTGGGTCTCCATTGCTGAGCTCAGGCTTTCTCTAATTGCAGCAAGTGGGAGCAACTCTCTAGTTGTAGTGTATGGGCTTCTTATTGAGGTAGCTTCTCTTGTTCCACAGCATGGGCTCTAGGGCCATGTGGGCTCAGCAGTTGTGGCACTTGGGCTTAGTTGCCAGGCAGGTAGAATCTTCCTGAAGCAGGGACTGAACCTGTTTCCCCTGCATTGGTGGATTTTTAACCACTGGCCCACCAGAAAAATCCAAACTTTCACCATTTTTCAGTGCGTAGCTCTCTGACCCAGTGCAGTACATTTGCTGGTGGTCGCATCCATTTTCAGAACATTTTCATCATACAAAACTGAAACTCAGTGCTCGTTACACTGTTAACCCCCCACTCTCCCTTCCCCTCAACAGCTGGCAGTTACCATTCTACTTTCTGTCTCTGAATTTGACTGAGTTCCTCATTAACAGTGTAATCGCACACATTTGTCTTTTTCTACTGACTTAGTTCACTTAGCAGTACATCTTCAAGGTTCATCTATGTCATAACATGTCGGCACTTCCTTCTTTTGTAAGGTTGAAGAATAACTTCCTTAAATGTCCACAGTGTATACATTCTGTTTATCCATTTATCTATTAAGGGACAGTTGGGCTGCCTCCACCTTTTTGCTATTGTGAATAATACTACAATGAATAAGTGTACAAAACATCTGTTCATTTCTCTGCTTTCAATTCTTCTGGGTATATACTCAGAGTGGAATTGCTGAATCATATCATACTGCCTTTAATTTTTTGAAGTATTGCCATAGTATTTTCCAGTCCCACCAAGAATAGACAAGAGTTCCAATTTCTCTACATTCTCATCAACACTTGTTTTTTGTTTTTTTTTAAACAGTCAACCTAATGAGTGTAAATGAGTGTAAAGTGGCATCTCATTGTGTTTTGATTTGCATTTCTCTAATGATTAGTGATGTCAAGCATCTTTTCACTTGCTTGCTAACCATCTGTTTATCTCTTGGAGAAATGTCCATTCCAAAACTTTGCCTATTTTTGAGTCTAGTCTTTTGGTTTTTTGTTGTTGAGTTCTAGGGGTTTTATGTATAGACTAGATAGTAATCCCTTATATGTAATTTGCAAACACCTCCTCCCATTCTATAGGTTGCCTTCTTACTTTGTTGGTCATGTCCTTTTTGGGGGGAGTGGGGCAGATTATGTGACATATAATCCAAACCTTTGTCAAGTGCTGAGTACCAGGTCAATAAAACTTTTATTGTAATGTTTGCACCATGTCATCAGGGAAATAAAACAAGAAATATCCTTTAATAAACAAATTTTTTAATTTTAATAAAGTGCGATTTGTCTAATTTTTTGATTGTTGTTGCCTGTGCCTTTTGTGTTACGTTCAAGAAATAATTTTCAGTCCTATGTCATCAAGTTTTTCCATGTTGTCTTTTATAGTTTTAGCTTTTACATTTAGGTCTTTGGTCTATTTTGAGTTAATTTTTAGTGTTAGGTAAAGGTCCACCTTTATTCTTTTACATGTGCATATCCAGTTTTCCCAGCACCATTTGTTAAAGACTGTCCTTTTACCATTGAATGGTTTTGGCATCATTGTTTGACCATATATGCGAGAGTTTATATCAGGGCTGTCTACTTTATTCCATTGGTCTGTTTGTCTGTCTTTATGCCAGTGCCACTCTTTTGATTACTATAGCTTTGTTAAGCTTTGCAATCAGAAAGTGTGAGACCTCCAACTTTGTTCTTATTTTTCAAATTGTTTCACTTATTGGACATCCCTAGAGATTCCATATGAATTTTAGAATGAGTTTTTCTATTTCTGCCAAAAAAAAAACTCATTTTGATTTTGATGGAGAATGCAGTGATTCTGTAGATTGCTTTGTAGTAACAATATCAAGTCTTCTAATCCATGAGTATGAAATGTTTTTCCGTTTATTTGTATATTCTTTAATTTCATTCAGTGATGTTTTGTAGCTTTTTGACATGTAAGTCTTTCACTTACTTGGCTAATTCCTAAGTAGTTTATTCTTTTTGATGCTATTGTAAGTGGAATTATTTTCTTAATTTACTCTTTGGATTTTAAAAGTAATTTTTATTTATTTATAGCTGTGCTGGGTCTTCGTTGCTGTGC